GTACAGATTTGATGGCAGTGAAAGAGTAGAAGGCAGACAGGAGGAGGGTCAGCATCTCCCTGCAAGGTAACTACCTTGGTTGAGGTCATGACAGGATCTCAAGCAACAAAGAACTAATGTCATCTGACAAGGGAGGAGGGACTGCTTTTATGAATAGGAATATTCAAAGTAACTGAGATCGAGGTTCTCAGATTTATCCAAAGCTACCCGAATATCTCCATTCCAGTTCTTTAGGTCCCATCCTTCCACAATCATTGCCACAACTTTCACATAGGGAACTACTGAGGCTGTGAACTTAAGCTGTAATTCTGCAGCCCACAGTAGCAAGTTTGGGATTTTGTATTAAGATGTTTCTTGTCTGCAGCTTTGAGATATAAAAGGGTCTCAGGGTAGTCATAGAAGCTCTCTGTAACTTTATCCTTACCTTGAGCCAAGAATTTAAAACATGAGCTAATTTTCTTTCCACAAGCTCTGCAGTGCAATCAGAAGCAGCCTTGCCACTCACGTCTCTATATTCCTGATTTGCATCACAATAGTGCAATGCAGCAGCCACTTGGTCTGCCAAAGGCTTGTCTTCAATGGCTATTCCATTTTAGGTGGCCATAGGTGATAATTTAGCTGTGTGCTATATGGAAAGCAGTATCCCATTTCTCATTGGTCATGAAGTTATCACTGCCTATAAACTCACCTAAGTCAGATAACCAATCCCGTATTATTTTTTTTTATTCCTTTATTTATTTATTTATTTTTTCCATTTTCAGTTGGCCAATTAACTTTTTATTTTTTTTTTATTTTTTTATTTTTTTAGTAGAGACGGGGTCTCGCTCTTGCTCAGGCTGGTCTTGAACTTCTGAGCTCCAACGATCCACCCGCCTCGGCCTCCCAGAGAGCTAGGATTACAGGCGTGAGCCACCGCGGCCGGCCTCCCGTATTATTTTTTAAAGCTGATTTCTTGATCAAATTTTGGTGCTGAATGCTGAGAAAGGTAAGGTTCACTGGGTGAAACAGATACTACTCAAATTATTCCAAGCAGTAAAAATCTTTAATTTGAAGGATTAGATACTCATAAAATTACTGATAACTTAGAGGAATGAAAGTCAGGAGCCTACCCTTTAGTCTTTGACTTCAAATTCATACAACCACATCTGGCATAATTGCTCTCACTATTGCCACTGTCTGCACTCATAAAATTGGTGCCAAGACAGTGGAACATGTGGTCCAGCTGTTGCTAATACTTTTGTCTGTAGGAGCCCATTTATATAATCGCCCTACTACAGAAAGGTGGCATCCACCTCCTTCTACCTTCCCCAAATTTCAGATATTGAGTGCCCTCACATCGACATAACCTAAATTTGCGAAGGAATCATAAGATCACATGAGAATCTGAGAAATGTAATTTTTAGTTCTCCAGACTCTGTAATTCTGAAAGAGGGGAAAAGAGAGAACATTTCAAAGGGATGGGAAAAGATTCATAGTGCCAGTAAACATCTAGCACACTGACCTTAAGATGGTGCTGGATTTCTTTCTTTCTTTCTTTTTTTTTTTTTTGAGACAGAGTCTCACTTTGTTGCGCAGGCTAGAGTGAGTGTGATGGCATCCTAGCTCACAGCAACCTCAATCTCCTGGGCTCAAGCGATCCTACTGCCTCAGCCTCCCGAATAGCTGGGACTACAGGCATGTGCCACCATGCCCGGCTTAATTTTTTCTATATATATTTTTAGTTGGCTAATTAATTTCTTTCTATTTTTAGTAGAGATGGGGTCTCGCTCTTGCTCAGGCTGGTTTTGAACTCCTGCCCTCGAGCGATCCTACCGCCTTGGCCTCCCAGAGTGCTAGGATTACAGGCATGAGCCACTGTGCCAGGCCTGGATTTCTTAAGTAGTTAATATTTAGGGTAGACTTTAGGATATAAATTCTAAATCTTAATAATAAATAATATTAATAATAATTATAAATCAGAAATTTGTTCAATAAATTCATCTGGCTGCTCTTTTGCCTCCCAAGTTCTTCCATGCTTTTATTTCTGAAGGGAAGATTAGATACCACTTTCACAAGGGCTGACAATAAGAATTCAAGCATAAAGAAAACACTTAAATAGTATTGAATAAATATAGCTTTGAAGAGCAGTTATTTTTCTTTTGTGATCATATTACATCTTTATTACATTTTCACTGAAATCTGAAATCAGAATGTATTTGAAATCCAACTGTATTAAACACAGCTGATAAACCTTAACATGCTTATAAAAATATAAATGTAATTGATCCCCAGATTTATTAATGAGAACACAAGCCACACTCAAAGGTGAGGTGAGACTGTTGCTAACATAATATGCTACCTATCATGCAAGATTCATAATCTACCCACCCTCTCATTACCAAATAGCTAGGTAATCATTATTCTTGAAAGACTGGTTCTTAGGATAGCTTCCTCACAGGGAGGAGAAACTTGGTTTAAATATAATGCATCATGGATGACAAAGAAGAGATTACAACTGGATGTTTTTCTTTTTCTCCATGGCAAATTCAATGAAAAAAAAATTTTAACTGAGAAAACAAGTGATTGAACTGGCTTCTCTAAAACTGCAGAAAAAGGAATCGGGGATACCTAGAGACAGAGTACATGGACTTTGTATATGGATTCATGAAATACTTATTCTTTAAAATTCACATTCTTGTATTTAAATTGGGAAATACACAAAACATTTTAAGACCCTATGTTTTTAGAAATGGCAGTATTATTTAAACCTTTCAAGATTTTTTATTTAGGATGGCTTTTTTTTTTTAATCTTTACATGTATTTTTTTTTCTCATTTTTTTTATTTTAGTGTATTATGGGGGTATAAGTGTTAAGGTTACATATATTGCCCATGCCCCCCTCTCCCCTAGGATGGCTTTTAAATTGGACATATTCTCTGTGTAGATGTTCAAATACAATGTGACCTTCTGGCTGCATATTATTATAGTTAGAGATCAAGTGATGTGTTTCAGCATGCACTTATTCTCAAAGGAGATAATAGTTCAAGAATACACACATTCACTATGAGGACCCCATGTAAGAATGGAAAAAAAAATCAATACATCTAAGTTGAGTTTCTATTTAAGACCAGATGGGTCTCCAAAGAGCACAGTATGAAGAGAAATTGCTTATGTGTGGCTATGTAAACCCAACTTTATGTGGTAAAATGAAAAAGACTAAAAAAACCCCTAAATTATATTTTTAGGTAGAAAAAAGTTTAGCTTCGCAAAGGAGATAGCAAACTAGATACATAAATCTGAAAGAACGCCAAGGGGTAACACAGATCATCCCTTACCTACATAAAAGTCCTGTCACTTAATCATCTAAAGACAGCTAGGGACCACCTTCTTCATAAGTCACAAGGCTCGTTCAGTGATACATTCTAAACTCTCACATCCTCATGTGGTAATGGTTCTATATTTCTATTATTTTAAACTTAGTCTTTGAATCTCCTTCAGGATTCACAAACTCCTATTAAAAACAATTTTAAAAAAAAAGTTGCACCTTTCAATTCATAGCTGTGCCTTCCCTCTATAATTTATTATTAGGAAAACCAACTTCTAACACTTACATGATTTGCAGTGTTTTGAAACAAGGAATCTTTCTACTTCTATTCCTTTTCACAACTATTCTTATCATTCACAAGTTATCTTCCTAGAATACCAAAGACTAAGCATGGATCCTAAAATGCACCCCTATTAAGGATTTGCTTTCTGAGATCACCTGCCCAAATCACTTGCATGCTGAGTAGCAAGTGACCAATTCCCTGCAGCAGGTATGATGGCTGCTACTCAGATGCTGTGTTCCTATGTGTATAGCTCAGCATCACAGTGCCTTTCAACTCTACTGCCCTATTTACCACTCAGGAGGACACCTAAATCTAAGCCACCCAGGTCTGCGCTGAGCACCCCAGCTGACATCCTGAATAATTGTAGTTGCCTTTTTCTCAGTAAGGGCAGTGTTATGAATACAGCTGGATGAGATTAATGATATAACAAGGGAAGTGTTGAGAGTGTGAACAGTTCAGTGTGGTAGTGTATTCTAATGGAGGTGAGATTCAAAAGTTCTGCCCCAACAGACAATATATAGTGCCTGAATTGTTTTATTATCAAATAGATAATACAGCAAAAATCACTTCTACCTCCAGGTTCTCTTTCTCACTTATGGGATAACTGAGCTGAATATATGAAACAAACTTGTGAATTAAAATATTCCTAATAAACTAAAAACACTGCTTGATTCCATCTTTTAAGATACAAACATAATAATCTGTATTAAAATATTTTTGAATGTCTAGAGAGTGTGTGGAACGAAAAGGAGAAAAAAGAATGAATGAATAATGTTAAAACTGAAATTAGTCATTGGTCAGTATCTGTCAGCAAAACAGAGTCAAGAGTGACAGAGAAGAGAAAGAAGAGCTATAGTCATTGATTATATTGGAAATGTCGTCTCAGGTATTTCTAGTTATTACAAACATTTAATAAATTCTCTGTTTTCTATGTAAGATGTTTATTTAGTAACAAAGTTTTACCAAAAAGGAGACACAATCCTTATTTACCAATTTTTAGATACAAGGTATGCAACTTATCTGTGATGATAAAGAAATTGTGAAAGCTACTAGAAAAAGCTTTATTTATCACATCTTAAAATCATCTTTGATAAAGAAACTTATAGTAAGGACTGAATGATTTAAATGTAAGAATACAGGAGCTTCCACATTTATATAAGAATAATTTAGAAGAAAATGGTATGTTTTATGTCTGCATGTAAAAGCTATTCTAAAGGCAATCAATTTTTAAAGCAAAAATATGCTACTGTAAAAAAAGCTTTTTACCAGAAATTATAAACACCCAAATTCTAATTTGATTTCTTTTTTACATATGATATTGGCAGCAGAAAAGAATTTAGAGTATTAATTGAGTCAAATAAACATCTATTCATAGCAGACAACTTACATTACAATAAACTGATTAACAAAAAAATTATTTTTCCCACAGCAGTAGTGTATTTATTGTGCTGAAATCAGGTAGCAGGGAATGAACAGCTCTTGGGAACCAGTACAGATTGTTCACAAAGATTTACAAATCTCTAGTCATTACACACTGAGGAGCAAAAACAAAAGTGTTGAATCCTCTAAGACCAAACTACTGTGTGTGTGGCAAATTTTCTATAATTCTCATGACTGCATGCCTTTGGGGGAAAAGTATATAATTTTAATGCACAATAAATATTTTATAGTTTACAAAATGTTCTGAAATAGTTTTCCTGTACAAACAGCATACATCCTACACATGCAGTTTTGACATGTTGGTGAGATACTTAGTAATATTCATGCTTTTTTTGTCACATTTTCTCTTTCTATAATGATCCCTGTGCAACATCTCCTAACAAATTAACCTATGTAATAAAACATGGTATAAGTTCCCTTCCCTATTTTATTTCCAGTTGTTCATTTATATTACATGAAATATTTCATTTGTAAATAGAAAATTTAATTTTATAGTTCTGACTACACTTCCCTTTTACTCATTTTAACAATTAACACCTTGTAACATCAAGCACTGAATTTAACAATCTTTAGCACCAAGGAGTCAAGAATATTGCACCAAAATGGGTTTATACTTTCTATATAGTTAATAAATAAGATCTTGCAACTTAGTCACAAGGAAAATATCACTCCAAAATTAAACATATCGAAAGAGAAGGATAGTTTCCACAGAAATGTTAGGTGTATGCCATTTGTTGAAAAAAGCAAAAAAAAAAAAAATACTAGTGGATTTGAGAGTTAATATTAAAATTTACATTAGAGGACTCCTTGATTTTTTTCATTAAAATTTATTTAATTTTATATGTTCTTTCCAACAGAAGAGGTAGGTATTTTTCCACATATGAAAAATCAGTAACAGCCACAAATCAAAACAAGGAAAGCCTGATAAAAATCAACATACTCTCCTCTAACAGCATGTAAATGTAACTATCTTATGATGTTACTAATAAAGACATGAGTTGTTTCATGTTTTAATCAGACAATAATCTTAATTTTCATAATAAATTTCTGCTAGCAATAGGAGTATTCAAAGGCTGCCTTTTCATCACAAAAATTGTTTCCCCACAGTGATTTGCGCCTCAAGTCATGGTGACCTTTGAGTTACCAGACAGGATTTTACTGTAATTCTTTCTTATTTTCACCAAAACCATCATCATCAAGCATCTAAGATTCTACAGAGATCAGCGGATTTTTAAAATTTAATTGAAACCAAAATGGTATATTCTGACTAGAGGTGAAGACATTTGACCATTCTGGTCAGCAAATGAATTCAAATGCACAAATTTAAATGTATCCATATTTCCAGGTTATAACAAGAAAATACAAGGTAACTGATTTCCATCAGTAGCAATTAATTTATCAAAAAACTTCATAAAGACTATGTTTCTGTGATCGTCTAAAATTCAGACTGAAGAACAGGTGAATATTAAGATACGTAAAAAAAATTCTCATCCTTTAGACAACTGGATGTGAACAGGGCGAAAGTCTCCAAAGTCACATAATGATTGCTTTGGTCTGAACAACATCAAGGCTAATTTAAAAAATGTTTAAAATGAAAACTTCATAAATAAAACATCTGGGGATTATACTTTACAGTTTACTCAGTCTAAAGGATACTAGTAGAGAGAGCACATTTGCCTTTTCTCCCCATCCCCAAGCCCTCCTTTGCTTGTTTTCCCTGAAATTTTATATGACATAGGAGTTTTCTCACCATCAACAACAGTTAATGCCCAGTTCAATTTACTCTCCTTTTGCTTTTCCATTTTTCTGCTTTTTTCCATTTTCTATCACTAGCTGTTTTTCTGATTTGATCACACCATTTGCAGAAATGCCATTCACAGCTGTTTTTCCAGTTTTTGGTTTCTTAGGCTCTTTGTATGTCCGAACGTAGAAGTTAAGAAAGAGAAATATGAAGCTGATTGCATAAGCAATTAGAGCCCAGTGCATCCATTTGGGGAAGGGGCAATCAGTATAAAGAGACAGTGCTGTGTGCCCAATGGTGACATGGAACTGAATCTGAAAAACAAAAAAAAGCAGCACATGACACATTCAATCTGAATAGTAAACAACTTTTAACAATAACATCAGAATCTTCTAGCTATGATAGGCCCAAATTTTGATACACCATTCAAAGTGTAATAGTACTCTGGCTCCCACAGCTGGCTCCTTCTCACTCAGGTTACAGCTCAAATGCCATTTTCTCAGGAAGGGCTTCCTAAAGACTTCAACTGACCCTCTCAATCCCATTAACCAAAGGGATTTTGGTTTATGTTTGTTTTTGAGAAGAATTATAACTACCTGAAATTGTCTTTTGTATTTGTTAACTTCTTTTTTGTTTTGTTGGGTTTTGTTTGTTTTTGTTTTTTGAGACAGAGACTCGCCCTGTCATCTTAGGTAGAGTGCAGTGGGATCATTGTAGCTCACAGCAACCTCAAACTCCTGGGCTCAAGCGATCCTCCCACCTCAGCCTCATAGAGTGCTAGGATTACAGGCATAAGCCTCTGTTGACTTCTTTATTGTCTATCTTTACACTAGACTATAACTCCAGAAGGCAGGGCTCTGTCTTGCTCACTGATGATTCCTGAGTCCTTGGCACAGTATCAGGACTCAATGAATATTTGCTGGATAATGTAATCTGATGAGGGAATCAATAGCATAGAAGAGTATAAAGCAATAGTGTTGTAGAATCTTCAACTTTGTTTTCCTCTCACATTTTAGACTGATTTCTTTCTATCTAATTGTTAGTAAGCACATAAACATACTTTTAACAATGAACTTATCAGCCAGGCACAGTGGCTCATGTCTGTAATCCTAGCACTTTGGAAGGCCAAGGGGGGTGGGGAGGACCACTGAGGTCAAGAGTTCAAAGACCAGCCTGAGCAAGAGAGAGACCTGATCTCTATACAAAATAAAAAAATTAGCTGGAAGTTGTAGCACACTTTTATATTCCCAGCTACTCAGGAGGCTGAGGCAGGAAGATTGCTTGAGCCCAGGAGTTTGAGGTTGCAACGAGCTGATAATGCTCCTGCACTCTAGCTGGGGCAACAAAGTGAGACCCTACCTCAAAAATAAATAAATAAACTTATCAAAATGTCTCTATTTGTTTCTTACAGATAGTAGACAGGTAAATTTGCATTTGAATGAACACAGTCCTTTAAAAACGAATATTTTAATAAAACTCAGTAGATATTTGAGAATAAGTGAAAAAAAGAATCACTTTCAACTTCAAGTTTTTAAAAATAGAAAAACCAAAAGCTTAAAATGAAATAATCTTAAATTCTAATGTATCAATGAATGAATGGTTTGAGACATAAGAATTATGAATTCTATGGTATTAACAAGGGTTAATTTTTGACACAATTAACTTACATGACTAACTCTTGTGAGAGCTTCTGGCTTAGAAATACAAACTCAACATCCTGTTTAGAATGGGCAATTATGGTTTCTCTTTTAAGAATAATATTATCCTTAAAATATTAAATTATTGGTTAAAATAACTGATATTATTTTAAATATTATTAAAATAATTCACTCCATATACGTCAGACATTTATACTGTATTAAGCAACTTGTATAATTTTCCATGGCAAATATCCAAATTTTAAGAACTTTTGGTTTCACAATAGTTTTTAGAATCTGCATTACCAAAAAAGGGTGTGTATAGGGGTGTGATTGAGTACAGCATCTCTCAAGGAGAGCCAGGTGTAGGCTTCAACAAAATATATATAAATAATTCACATGGTTTGGAACACTGCTTCGTTTTCTTGAGACCATTTGTTACTTACTAAGAGAAATGAATTATACAAGACTGTATAAACAGCTTTTACACAAAAACTGGAGGAAGCTTCCTGTAGCATTTTGGTTACAGATGAATCCTTCACACCAAGCATGTCCCAAAAGTTGTGCTTCCTGTTTGGTTAGCTAGCTGTTTAGCAACTTAAAGCAGAGATGGATAATATTTCCAAATGTGATTCTACTGATAAAACTATGCACACGCTATGATTAAAACAAATTATAATATATTCTAAAGCTTGAAGAATAGCTACCAGGTTGGTTTTGGATTTTCAATTTGATTGCAGACTAGTGCCTAGCTCTCAAGGTTGCACTGATAGACGTACCCAGATGCTACAGGGAGTCTTACTAGGGGTATGCGTTGAAAACTGTCTAGTATAATGCCTAGCATTTGAAAATACCTGGCTCTGCTCTCTGAGGACAGTGTTTTAGAAAATTATGAGGAGTTCTCTGGTCCTTATTCCCTTCCTTTACCCCACCCCTTCCTTGGCTCCATGCCTTCTCTTCAACTTTATATTCTAAATATATGGGATATGCTAACAAAGACTGAAAAATGGAATAAAAACAAAATTTAAGGACAGAATGAAGAGAGGCAAGACAATTTTAAGTTAAAAAATCATCCTAGGGGAAAAAATATTTTTCTAGTCATACACGAATCTATGTATTTTGTGTGGTGTTTAGACCCTTAATCATCCTTCCCACAGATACTTTTAAAGAATGTTTCCCTTAGAAGGATAAATGGTATGTTTAGTTGTTTTAAGGATGTTATAAAAAGCAAGTGACTGTAACCAATAGTCTATGAATTGGTAGGTTAGAGCTAAACAGCTTCAACTGCTATAACTAGACGATAGAAAGTTAATTTTGAAATAGAAAATTGTTTAAAACAACTTAGCACTTTACCATTAATAAAATTCAAACATTTTCAATCTTTTACCAGAAGAAACTAGAGGCATTTAACTTACCAGCTGCAACATGGTCAGGTATCGCTTCCACCAAAGATACTTTTGAATCCATGGGCCAAATGCAGTTAACCCATAGTATGAGTACATAATCACATGGATAAAAGAATTCATCTGGGCTCCGAAAAATGCTTTAGAAAAACAAGAGGTAATTACAACACATGGAAAATTTTATTAGGCAATAAAACCATTGAGATATAAAATAAATGCAATCCACATTGTTTTCTAACATCTAATCTTGATCTAACATTAACAAGGCTATATAATATTTCCTTTGAATAAGAACCAACAAGGTCACTTAAGGTCTATGCAAGTTGAGTATCCCTTCTCTCAAATTTTTGGGACCAGAAATGTTTCAGATTTCAGATTTTTTTCAGATTTTGGAATATCTGCATATACATAATGAAAAACCTTGCAGAAAAGATTCAAGTCTAAAACCCAAATTCATCTATGTTTCATACACACCTTTTAAACATAGCCTAAAGGTAATTCTATACTATTTTAAAATAATTTGGGGCATGAAACAAAAGTTTATGTACACTCAAACATCAGAAAGCAAAGGTGTCACTATCTCAGCCACCCATGTGGTCAATCTATACTTGTCTGACCTCACCATCATGCTGTATGCAGAAAAGGGATACTGCAGCTGAAGGGAGCTAGGTGGGTCTTTTTCCTTTGGGGATGCTGAGTAAATTTGTGTGGTATGTGCCTGTATTTTGACTGTGACCCATTGCATGAGGTCAGGTGGGGAATTTTCCACTTGTGGTGTCATATCATTGCTCAGAAAGTTTCATATTTTGCAGCACTTCAGCTTTCAGATTTTGAATTAAGGAAGTTCAACCTGCATTAGAGCAGGAGTGAGCTCTGGGCTTGAACTGAAGATGGAACGTTCAGATTGAGCAGTTGTGTCATCATATCCTTTGGTTGAGAACTGTTCCCCATATAACTATTATTTGCTACATTTATGATTAGTTTATGCTCATCTCTGAGTTAAGACTTTGGGTATCAAAGTAGTTATGGTTATAAAGCTAAAATTTTACTGTCTTCAAATTTTTAGAAAATGAAATGAATATGGAAATGATTAACTCTGTAATCAAGTTAAATGACAGAACAAGTCAAATTTTCCAGATTTTCATTACTTTCCACCCAACATATTTATGTAATTTAACACATGCAGATACATTCCTGAAAATGCTCACCTTGTCCCCCTGCAACCCACTTAATTCCAATCCACCACAACGTAAACATAGTACAGTGATGATATACATGAAGGAAAGAAACTTGGTTATTTTTCTTCCTCAGGATAAAAAACACAGTGTCCAAATACTCCACTCCTTTAGACACAAAGTACCACCACAGAGCAGCAGCTATCTATAAAAAAGGAAAAGCATGTTATAAACACCAGAATGATACTAATGATATGGGTTTCTATTCATTGTAAGTCCAAAAGAATCTTCATTGCACAAAATGTCCAAGGCATGGAATCATTTATGGCTAAGTAGGTTTAAAACCTAAGCATCTATCCATGGGGAAAAAACAGAAAAGAAAGTCCAGAGCTATGTCTACATGATGCCAGTAATTCAGACACAATTTCAGTCTGTTACATAGGTGAATGTCACATAGTGTCAAGCAGCTAAATACAGAGCTATAAACACATTCATGTTGCCATGCTTTTCAATTTGGTAGAGGAACTAAGACGTTTACTTTGTAAAGATATTTCAGTTGCTCACACTTAGCCTAATTATACCTTAGATAAACTTGCAAGCTTATGCAGCAACTGGTCTCTGTCAGTGTCTGTCTGTCTCTATCTCACTTTAACATGTGCACCAAAGTAAATATCCAATCACAGCAGTTTGTATTAGGTGATAATATGTTTAAAATGATAAACTAGAACAAAAAAACCCCACAAATATTTCCTAGGTCATAAATATAATCCTGCTTACATGAATAAGTCTTTTCTTTTCCTGGGCTCTAATTAAGACAACAGATGGTGCAGAAAGATTACGTTACATGCTGAGATTAAGGATCCAGTGAGAGGTGACCTCTGCATATATGTATCATAATATTTTATAAGACTTCTACTATAACAGTGACCAAAATTTAACATTTTTATGTCAAGTATTTTCTATGATAAACATTCTATGTACAAATAACAAATAAGGGCAGTACATACTGAAATCTATTTATAAACCTTTGTGTGTTAGGGGCTTGGCAGGTTTATTCATAGACAGGCTTAGTTGTTTTAGAGTTGAAAGATCCCTTCCTCATTTTATACCTGCATCTGATGGATGTCACGGGTTTTTTTCTTGTTTTGTTTTTGTTTTTCACCTTTTTTTTTTTTTTTTTTTTTTTTTTTTTTTTTTTTTTTTTTTTTTTTTTTGAGACAGAGTCTTGCTTTGTTGCCCAGGCTAGTGTGAGTGCCGTGGCGTCAGCCTAGCTCACAGCAACCTCAAACTCCTGGGCTCGAGCGATCCTTCTGTCTCAGCCTCCCGAGTAGCTGGGACTACAGGCATGTGCCACCACGCCCGGCTAATTTTTTCTATATATATTTTAGTTGGCCAATTAATTTCTATTTATAGTAGAGACGGGGTCTCGCTCTTGCTCAGGCTAGTTTCGAACTCCTGACCTCGAGCAATCCGCCCGCCTCGGCCTCCCAGAGAGCTAGGATTACAGGCGTGAGCCACCGCGCCCGGCCTGTTTTTCACTTTTTTAAAAACATAATTTTAAAGTTTGGGGAAAGAGGAAAGAGAAAGGTCATGTAAAAATAACTTCTTGTATTTATAGGTTGAGAATTATTTTATTGAATTTTCTTGAGTAATACTATTGTTGAAAATGATAAAAAAAATTGGTTGAAAATAGGCTTGAAATAGTATACTATAGTTAATGTTCACTATTATATTAACACTTTAAAATAAAGTAACTATCACCATTTTGGCACCTTAACCTTAATCTACAAGGAAAGAGACAATGTCTTAGTTTTTCTCCCTGAGCTTTTAAATTTGCCACAATTCACATATAATAATAATTCTTCTTCATCATTTGCAAAATGCATTTGATATCTTTAAATAGTCTACACCAAAGTGAAAAGTGATATTTCTTGGCTACATAACAATGAATACAAAAAAAAAAAAAAACAACGAATCTCTGGGTAAAGCATTCATTCTACTGCATGGATTTATTAGAGAGAAGGGAGAAAGGTTTCAAGTGGAAACTGTTGCAAGTATTGGGTTCTTTCTCCTCCTAGGTTACACTTCTCATAACAGCTCTTTTTTTTTTTTTTTTGAGACAGAGTCTCACTTGATGCCCAGGCTAGAGTGAGTGCCGTGGCGTCAGCCTAGCTCACAGCAACCTCAAACTCCTGGGCTCAAGCAATCCTCCTGCCTCAGCCTCCCAAGTAGCTGGGACTACAGGCATGCGCCACCATGCCCGGCTAATTTTTTCTATATATATTAGTTGGCCAATTAATTTCTTTCTATTTATAGTAGAGACGGGGTCTCGCTCTTGCTCAGGCTGGTTTCGAACTCCTGACCTTGGGCAATCCGCCCGCCTCGGCCTCCCAAGAGCTAGGATTACAGGCGTGAGCCACAGCGCCCGGCCAACAGCTCATTTTTTAAAGACCTGAAAGTTTATACACGTCAAGAAGATAGGTTCACAATGACCACAGTGGTATTTTTGAACCTTTATCCTACAATTAATAATATGTTGCCTCATGTTAGGTGTTTTCCTCAGTTTACTCCCAAGAAGAAAGCAAAACAAACACTCCCCTGGCACTTCCCCCAAAGCAAGCAAAGATGTCAGCTCCCAACTGAGAAGATTCTCTGGCAAAATGGTTGTCAGAAGAAAATTTTTCCCTATTTCCTAGCCAAAAAATGTAAAGAAAGCACGCCCCTCCCCCTGCCAAAAAAATACTCTCTCTCAGTCACATGACAGGGTCTATTTTCTTCTTGACCCTTTGCTGACATGATTACTGTCTGCCTCCCCACCCTCACTAGAATGACAGCTCCATGAGGAAGGGACTGCACTTATCTTTCCATTCGGTGTCCCCAGAGGCCCTCACAGTATTAGCACATAGTAGATGCTCCATACATACCATACCATGTTTCCCCGAAAATAAGACCTACCCATAAAATAAGCCCTAGCAGGATTTCTAAGCATTTGGGCAATATAAGCCCTACCCCGAAAACAAGACCTACTGATGGGCATGGCTATGCAGTGTATCTGCACAACCCATGTATTTAGCCCCAGAGCGGTAAAGAAGACGAGCAGCCCTTCTCATCTGCCCCATCGTGACAGCTACTATCCCAGAGGTGACCGGAAAGGTGAGGGCAGCCCCACCAATGAGGTCGGCTCCCCCTGTCAGGTCCGGGCCATCCTGTGCGTTCTGTAAGCAGAGGCTTTGAGGGAAAAATAACACATCCCCTTAAAAAAAGCCATAGGGTGGGGTGTCTTCATGAAGAAAAATAAATAGAAGACCCTGTCTTATTTTCAGGGAAACAGGATACATATCAAATGAATGAAACCAACATGACAACCAAAGGGGTGATTTTTCATCAGTCCTTAAGTCTTCTAATAAGGAAATGAAGCTATGGACACAAAATGGTAAGTCCGATAGAGCGATTTGGTCTTGAGTCTTTATGAATACTGAAATGTATATAGTCCAACCCACATGCCTGAAAGCTGTTTTTCTCTAGGGAAGCTACTACATACTAGATTATTACTACATATACTACATATAACACAAAAGTTATATGAAAACATGTTATATACTATGTTATATGTAATTTTAATATGAACCACAGTATACAAGAGGAGTTCAATAGATACTTAATAGAATAGGATAATTTGTTGTTTCTTTCACTTAAGCTAAATGTTAACTTTGCTAATGTAGGTAACTTGAAAATAAAATATGATAACATATTACTAGTGGTTTATTTTCTGAAAATATAATGTAAACTGAATTTATATCTATACAAATTGTGCTATGCTTAATTTTCTAAATATTTATATAGATTGTAAAACATTTACTTTCCTCAGACTTTCTTAACAACTGAGTTAGACTTTCTTTATGAGTTTCTATTCTTGACCAAAAACAACAAAAATCTAAAATATCTTTACAAGAAACATAGAGCTTTGTTTTTTAAAGTATTGCATTCTATTTATAGTAATCTAATACATATTCACTCTCACACTACCAAATAAAAGAATGTTGGAGGTATAAAACAGATTATCAGTTATGTACTTTATTAAAAAAACAACAACACAGCTTTATTGACTCAAAACAACCCAGTATAATTTCACTACTATATTAAAGTATGTATTTCACAGAGAACCTATAAAATTAAACCACTTTTACTGATTAACAGTATTTTTAATGTACTTACCCTGACTTCATTAACATTATTAGAATAATCCACACTCTGGCAAATATAGCTATATCCTGCATTATAGGATCCCATGAATAACTGTAAAGAGAAGTAATAATATTTGGAGTAAATTTTTAGTAGATACAGAATTAAAAACACTAGCTATAATATGAAACCTTCAAAATTATTTCAAAAACAATATTTTCTTTAAAAATTTCAAATGCATTAAACATTTAATACACTGGAATGTCTAAAAGTTACTGTGTGTTAACTTGTTCTATAATTTAAATCTAGAATTAAAATCAAATGTAACTTTTAGACTGAGATATCAACTCTATCTACTGTACCAAGAGAAATTGTTACTGCCATGACTCAAATCTAAGAGTGTTAAAAAAAAAAATCTAAGAGTTTAACTGGTTTCTATTCTTGATCCAGAGTAGTTTGTACCTAACAAGTTGGGTACAAGTATCCAGATAAATTAAAGTTTTTATGAAGGTAAGATTCTGTAGGCTAGGTTGTTAATTAAGGGAAGTTTTTTGTTTGTTTGTTTTTAAAAACGGTTACTGTTTATTTTCCTAGCATCACCAGTCAGTTCTCTGGGATCATTTAGAATTTTAATAAGTCTCTTAGGAAACAAATTTCTTATACTTTTGCAACTTCAAAAATGGCTGTGTCAATCTAGCCTTTAGGATTTCCTTTCAAAATGTCATGGAGAATTTGCTGGTGGCCAGGAAAACATACAATGATTAGTTGCAACAGTTGTATGACAGCTAACTCATTTTAGTTCAAACCTAAAATACAATGACATTAAGTCAAGAATTTACTTTTAGAGTAACTGTTATCTGAGGGTATGATATTACAATGATGGTTTTATATATTTTCATTTTTAAAGTTTCCAATAACCTCGGAGAATTATTATAGAATGATCTTAATAAACCTACCTCTCTGAAGATAAAAAGGTTAAGCAAAACCATCCCAAAATTATAGACAATGAGCACTAAGCGCATCTGAAAAGGTTCTCGATCCTTCATCCATTTTGGACCCAGCCACACAAACAGGAGATAAAGGGTACTTATACTTAGGGTAGGCCATGGAGACTGCATCAGAGGCCAATTTTCCACACGTTTATCTACAGAAAAAACAAAATAACATAAAATTAATTAAATAGTAATGTTTTATAAAATAAACTTTTAGGGATCAAAATGTTTCCACTAAATTTCCCTATTTGACCAAATACAGATCACTATCCTTTGAGTCTCAACAAAAATACATGGTATAAAAAGCAAAGAAACAATACTGACTCCTGTAAGTAGCTTTTGAAAATTAACTTTCATTACCTATGTCACACATTATGTTTTATAGAGAAACTAGAGAACAAAGAAAAGAAATAAAGCTCACCAAAAATAGAGGAGTTAAGCTTAGGATAAAAAGTTAATGAAAGACTTCATAGACAGAAAATAAATATTTAAGGAAACCCTTGTTTTCCATTTTAAACATGTGAAATTTATCAGTGCAGCCTGGAAGCTGTCTGTATGTCCATTCCTAAAGCAGGCGAGAATTAGACTGACAAGTGTGGGGCAATGGAAGCCGATTGCTAATATCACCAGATACTGAAGGCAAGAAGATGATTCTACATGAGAGATTAAGTAGCATTCATTACAATTCTATCATTTATTTAAATGGTAATCATATTCAAGACATTTTTCTTTCTTATCCAGAGCATGCATCTATTTTATTCTCCATGAATAATCAATTTGTGTGCTTTTCTCTAAAGCTATAAATCACTTAACTTACATATGTGTAAATATATATAATGCAACACATTACATTTAAAATGAATTGATTGCCCATAATATTAAAATATGCAACCATGAATCAATTTTATAATAGAATGTTCCCACAAGGAAAACATTTCTAAGACAAGCATGATAATGAAATTAATAACAATTCATCTTTTAATATATTATAGAAAGATATTAATATTAATTTTTACATTTCTAAAAGCTAAATATTTAAAGGTTACAAATCTAATGTCTAGTTTATTCTTGGCAATGAAAAACATTTTTATGTTCTATTTTGAGGAAAATAATGTATTTTTAAAATAGTTAAAGAAAATACAAGTTCCTAAACCCAGCCTAAATGAATTTAACTTAATTGCTGCTTACAATAACCCCCTATTTAAACTGTCATTTTTACTAAAGCTATATATGCAAAATGGCTCTAGATTAGATAAGTAGGTATTAAAATACATTACTTAAAAACAAATTAATCTGTTTCTGTATACTGTCAATAGAAAATAAGATACAAGACATAAAACATAACATTTAATTGAATATCTCCAAAGTCAAGAAGTGACATCATTAACTCTGGTTTCAATGAAATCAGAGTTGTTAAAAAGGTCAGATGGTGACTTGAAAGAAAAACACATATGGGAACAAGGAAAACAGAAAAACTAATTTTATAGTTTACAAAGTAGGTCTACCATTCATAGAGGTTATAGTTATATTACTCAAATGAAACACATTCCAGAGTTAAAGTAAAATATCTGAAAGACAGGACAGAGAGTAAACCTCTCACAAGAAGAAAGTGACTTAAAAGATGGCAAAGCACTTTGAGAGGCTGAGGGAGGAAGATCGCTTGAGGCTAGGTGTTAGAGATCAGCCTGGGCAACATAGCAAGACCTCATCTCTACAAATTTTTTTTAAATTACCCAGGCATGGTATTGTGCACTTGTAGTCCCAGCTACTCAGGAGGCTGAGGTGGGAAGATCCATTGAGCCCAGGATTTTGAGGTTACAGTGAGCTATGATCGTGTCACTGCACTCCAGCCTGGGTGACAGAGTGAGACCTTTTCTCTTAAAAAAGAAAAAAAAAAAAAAAGGCATGGCTGACTTTTGTTAAAGTCATTGTGCCACTATGTTCTTATGAATAATGGTTAGCTTTTCTTTAATGACATTTTAGCCCTTCTATGTTAATTATCCTTCTATGACCAGACCTTTCTATGCCAAAGATACTCCATAAAACATGTGGTGCTTATTTACTTAGGTCTTTATTTTTCTATATTATAGAAGAAAAGATTTAGACAAACTCCCTGAAGCCTAAAGCCCAGTTCTGGGTCACAGAGGAGTTGCTATGGTGTCCTATTCTTCTCCACAAACTATAAGGCAGATACTGTTTTGTCCATGAGACTGATACAAAGAGTAGAAGTACTCTGTTAATGGAATAATCTATGTAATAAAGAAAGGACAACAAATTCACCTACGAGGAGATTTTAACATCTGACAACATGGATTATTTCATGCTTACACAATATAAAATTCTTATTGACTTCAAAGACAGTTCTGGGCAGCAAGTAGAAAATAATTACAAAAATAGGTCCAAAACTTTGCCATAAATTAAGAGTAAATAAAAACACTCATTTACTTTGATATATAGTGTGCTACACTGTACTGTTCTCTCATTCAACAGAGAAATTTAAAGACAGGACTACCTTCAAGATTGAGTGTTGGGCTGGCCAATAAATAAATAAAAATAATAAAAATTTTAAATAAAGAAAAGATTACCAAAAAGAGAGGGAAAGAGACATGAATAAGAAGCTGAGGCCGGGCGTGGTGGCTCATGCCTGTAATCCTAGCTCTCTGGGAGGCCGAGGCGGGCGGATTGCTGGAGGTCAGGAGTTCAAAACCAGCCTGAGCAAGAGCGAGACCCCGTCTCTACTATAAATAGAAAGAAATTAATTGGCCAACTGATATGTATATGAAAAATTAGCCGGGCATGGTGGCGCATGCCTGTAGTCCCAGCTACTCGGGAGGCTGAGGCAGAAGGATCGCTCGAGCCCAGGAGTTTGAGGTTGCTGTGAGCTAGCCTGACGCCACGGCACTCACTCTAGCCTGGACAACAAAGGGAGACTCTGTCTCAAAAAAAAAAAAAAAAAAAAAAAGAAGCTGAGGAGCTAACAATATGAAACAGTAATGTAGGCCAACAGAAGAGTAAAAATGTGGAGGGATTTAGATAGTAAAAAACAGAGGTATCAGAAAAAGCATACAAGACTCTACCAGTAAATAGGCTGGCTGAGTTCTAATGGCAGCTCTGCTATTGTGTGTAGGACCTTAGGGACATAATTTCCCTTCATTTCTTTCACCTATAAATCCTGAGGGGGAGAAGGTGAACTAGATTGGCATTTCTCCAGTTTCACAGAGAAAAAGAATCACCTGGGGGGCATAGTTCAAATGCAAGTTCTGATAGAGTATTTGCAACATAATGGCCACTTCTAGAACACTGCATTTTCTAGGCAGCATCAACTGATGCTATACCATTATTCCACAGATCTCGCTCTTGGAGTAGTAAGAAACTAGATGATCCCTTAGGTTTACTGTTAACTTCTGAAAATTGTTACTTTTTAAAATGATTATGAGCAAGAATGGCTGAAAGATGAGAAAAACTAGATCAATAAAATGTTAACTGGTCGGAGGACCTTTTGCACTGCCAGAGCTTCTGCCCATGTTTCTGTTCCATCACAGCACCCATGGTGCTGTCCCAGTGACCTTCCTTTAAACTGTAATCTCCCTGAAGCCAGGGGCTGGGTCTTTCATTCTTGTACCACAAGGCCTAACAAGGTGCCTAAAATTTATTTGATGAATCAAAATTGGATAATTTTTTCATATTACTCCATTATTCTCTATCCTTTCTGCCAAATCCAACAGTACATTTACCAAAACTCAAGATTTCTTCAGTGTCCAGCTACCCCTTCCCTACAGCTCTTCCCAGATCCTTCTTTGTGTCAGCATAATACTTTAACTTCGAGTCAACAACACTTCAGCTCAGTATTTAGCAAGTATATGTGTACACTATAAAACTCAATGTCCTTTTATTTCATTGCTTATTCCAGGGGAAAAAGCAATGCCCTCACTTCTTTGCCCAACAATGCAAGTCATGCCTTCATTCAACAACCACTAGCACATCCCCATTTTCATCCTATAAAAGGCCACATTTCACACCATACCCTTCTCGAATTAGCCCTTCCAGTTCACAAGAGTCAGAGAGCTCTCAAAAATTTCATCTCCTATGATTACATAAATTATAGTATTAATAATTGTCAGCACCAAAACTATAGCATAACAACTCATGTCCTAATATTTGCATGAAATTCCTCCATGTCTTGACCTGTTATTATAATAGTTATATGCATCTTTCTGAATTTATTTGCATTAACATTTCCTTTAGTGCTTCTGGTGAGATTTACATATTCTACACTTGTTTCCTTTCCTCTAAAGAGGACTGACTGTGTCACAATAGTGCCATAAAATGATATGAAAGTTCACCATTACCAACAAGAACCAAAAAAATGCCGGGAAACTAAAACGGTAAAGGGAAATCATGAATGTTGAAGCTTCATGTATTTTATGTAAACTTTGAATATATTAAAATAATAAATTCTCTATAGTTTCATTAACTCAAATGTTTAAATAAACACATTTTAAAGCTAAATTAAATCCTCTAATTCATTTGGGTTACTGTACATTGAATCCAAATGTAGATTAAACATATTAGAGTGACAGAAGATAATATATTTTTAGTATATTGTCAATATCCTAATCCTACAGTTATTGGTGGGATTTCATGCCATGGAATTTTTTAGGGGAAAAGAACTGGAAAAATTCTATTGAAACCCTACCCCTCCAGCTGCCAGTGAAGTCAATTCTGTCATCAGAGAGTATAAAGATCCAAATGTGTTTTAAATAATATTCTTGGGAATTTCCTCTTTGGAAAGCATTTGTTGGCGGTATCAAAAATGGCACAAATATAAATTGACTTGTCAATTTATAAACTTGTCTGTCTTGCTTTTATAGTTTATACTATGAATATGTTTATTAACATGATGTTTATACCTTCAAGCCTTAATGTTTTTGCTGTTATTTTGAGCCCAGTTATTACAATAACACATTTAAGCCTTTCATGTTATCATGTAAGCCTTTGTCTAAACTAGATTTGTAAAATTTTAGATTTATAAATGATCCCTTTATCTGAAAAGTGAGATTCAGAGAGATTAAAAGACTTGCCACAGCAGGTAAAGCAAGAGCCCCTTGTACAGTGGCAGCTATTCTAGTACTCCTCAGTCAGCATGTACTTGAATTGTAAGTGGGAAAATTTCCCATCAATTTCTTTCTGAATTACAGGTACAAATGTTATATTTTAAGACTGTTCCTTCAAGGTAAAGAAAACCTGAAAGAGCTTCAAGAGTTCCCCCAGTAGAAAAAATGACAAGAGATACTCAAATGAGCAAGTCTCGCAGTTCACTGGGTGCTGCTTTGGGTAGACCTGGGCCGGGATCATGGATGCTTTGGAAGTTATGACACAGACTGAGGGGAAAAAGCCAAAGATGTCTGGCCTCGAAAAGAGAAAGAGGCCTCATCAAATACTAAAAGAACTTATGAGAAATCAGATTTATTCTTTATTTTCAGAGAGTAGAATGAGAACCAATGAGAAGAAGTTATACAGAGAGTAAATTTCACCTAAAATCAGAAAATTTCTAACCACTGGCTTTCCTTCTATATGTAGAAGGAGCTGTCTCCTTTGGTAATAGTTTCCCTATTCTAGTTTTAAACTAATTTATTTATTTTTTTTATAGAGACAGATTCTCACTTTGTCACGCTGGCTAGAATACACTGGCATCATCATAGCTCACAGCAACCTCAAACTCCTGAGCTCAAGCGATCCTCTTGCCTCAGCCTCCTGGGTAACCGGGACTACAAGCATGTGCCACCACGCCCTATTAAGTTTTCTGTTTTGTGTGGGGGGGGGGCCTCACTATTGCTCAGGCTGGTCTCGAACTCTTGACCTCAAGTAATCCTGCTGCTTTGGCCTCTCAAGAGTGCTAGGACTACAGGTATGAGCCACTGCACCCAGCCTATAAACTAAATTTAAGCAAACATAAAGCCAAATATTATAGCAAATCAAGCTCGGAAAAAGATTTTATTTTAATAATGAGAATTACTAAGACACGTTATTTTAACCTTTCCAGACACTTAAGGGTTAACTTTCTCAGGAAATAGTTTCCAATGAGAATATTTTGACTGATTCATAATGTACATGCCAAGTGGGACTGATTTGTTTACAAACATAAATTTGGTCAGCAATAATACAAGTTTATGTATATTAAGAGGCCATATAATAGTTACACAACTGTGTTTGTCAAAACTCACAAACTTCACTAAAAGGAGTAAATTAATGGGGGCGCGGGAGGATGGTCTATCTAAAATGGGTTTTCCCTTGAACATATACCAACAAGTTTTTATTCTTAGTCTGATTTGTATCTTAAGATCACACAGTATAGTGAATAGAACAGACTTTGAAGTCAGACACTCTACTCCTTTGCAGCTAAGTGATTTGGGGACCTTATGTGGTCTCTAACCTCTCAAAGCTCATTATCTATTAGAGGCAGAGACGGATAAGATAACTCAATTGCTATGTAGTATAATGAGAGCAATATCAGAGGAGTGTCCTTAGTACAGTGGTAGGACCAGAAAAGGGAACAAGGCAAGCTTCAACAAGAGACATGTGAACTTTTTTTCAAAGAGGAGGAATTTGCCAAACAGACAGGTAGGAAGAAAAGCATTCTTTTTCCAGAGAACATTAGAGAGACCTATAAAAGTTCCCTTAGTAGAATGACAAGAGATAGGCAAATGAGAATATCTGAGTACTCTGAGAGAACTGAATGTATAATCAGTCCAGAAGCAAGAAATTAAACACTTATTTTGTAAACTAAGCAGGCCTGTAGTAGAGGATATATACAAGGCAAGAGGGCAGAAAATGACTGTGAGGATTCCTTAGGGGGGTCTTACAAACTATGGAATTTATCATGTAAATAATGAGGAGATATTTGATTTATTTTGGCTTTTAAAAGATCATGGTGGAGGCAGTGGGGTGGACTGAAGGGGAAAGGGATATGTCAAGAGGCAGGAAAACCAGCTGGATCCAGACTGCCCATTAAGAATCACGTGCTTTTTAAAAATATAGATTCCCAGGCTCCACCCCAGATCTGCTGAATCAAAATCGCTGCGGGTGATTTTGTGCAGAGGTGAGGCCTGGCACTGTGATCTCGAAGTTCCCCCAGTGATTCTGATAGGCAGCAAGACTTAGAGTTCACTATAATGTGAGGAATGATGGAAATCTGGATTCGGAGGCTGCAGTGGCAACACACAGGAGAGGCAGATACGAAGGTTCTGAGAGTGAAGTCTACAGACTTTGTGACTTTTATGGATGTGAAAGGTGACAGTAAAAGAAAAGTTCAAGATTAGTCCCAGCTTTCTGGCCTAGCTGGCAGCACATATAGTACATCATGATCCAGGACAGAGCATGAAGGAAGAGGAGCAGGACTGAGAGGAAATGATCAGTGGATATTAACCATCTCAGGTTTGAGCCACCTGTAGGACACTGAGGTGGAGGCATCCAGTAGGCTCAGGAGCTGCAGGGCTATGGACACACAGAGGAACCAGTGACAGTGAAGAACACATTGGAGTTTGACATCACAGGGGAAATAGCATGGAGAGAGGACAATGTGAAAAAGGATTGAACCAGGGACACTTGAGGCAGAGTGGGTGAAATGGCAGCAAATCAGCCAGAGAGGCAGAAAAACAGAAAATGATGTCACAGAGACCAAGAGAGCAAGACATTTTCAAAAGGAGAGGATGGGCAAAACAGAATCTATGGCTGGAGAATCAACTGTTCTGCTTTCTTTTTAATGGGGAAACAACTACTTCATGGACTAGCTCTGTCATTTTTTAGCCCTATGACTATGAACCTGAAACTCTGAGCCACCACTTCCTCATATGCATAATAGGGATGACAATAAGATTGTCTAAATCATTGCCCTTTTGATCCAGGTAAAATGAGCAACAGTTAGTTACTGATCAATATAATATGGTTCTAGAATATATATAAAGTCCCTGTTAGGGTAAAAAACAACTAAATGTTCTATAACAATATATGCCCTAATTTGGTTTTTAAATTAATAACTTAAGCACATTTAAAAATTCTTCTTTTTCTATAATATTAATAGTAAGTAGAAGTAGATTGTTAAAGAAATTAGGAATACTCTATTCCCTTGCTATTTAAAGTGTGGTCCATGCACCAGCAGAAAAGCATCACCTAGAAGCTTCTAAGAAATGCAGAATCTCAGGCTTCACCCCAGAACTACTGAACCAGAATCTGCATTGTAACAAGATTCTACAGTGACTTAACATAGTAAAGAAGCACTGCCAGGGTCTACTTGGAAATGTGAACCTACTTTATATAACATGTAATCAAAAGTTACATAAAAGTTTGCTTGGTTTGTCCCTAGATTCTACATAAATAAATCAGCCAATTCCTTTTCTTATAACAGAATCCCATGTGTTTAATCTACCATAAGCTAAAAGAACATATGTGTAACAAACCCTAAATATTGAGTAGCTTCAGTAGTATATCCAAGATATCCAGAAATCTACACTGTACATAATTCTAAGTTGGAAGAAGAGAAAAAAGAAAGAAGTCTGTACTATATGTTACTACTCTATTCATCCTTCTTGAATAAATTAAAAGCAACAGTTGCACATTAACTCCTTTTTAATATCTAGCTACTAATCACCACTAGTATACTAAGTGATATTGTTAAAAATCCTTTTCCATTTACTAATTATACAAAAATAAAGGTTACCCAATAGTATAACGTAATGTCACCTTGTACACTAAAAGCACCCCAAAGGGAAATTGTGGTCTTTGTCTTAAGGAGATAGTCAATGTCTTCCTCCATTTATTACAAATGGCATGAAGGCCAAGGCCACAGCTCTATCTCCTGCTGTACTGCTATAACAATGCCTGATATCAAAGTCCTCAAACATTTGTTAAAAGAAATTCTTAACAAAAAATGTAGATGACTGTGGTCAAAAAGAAACTGAGAAAAATCTTATCTCTAGATAGAGAGTAAACTAAATAACACCTTAAGGCCTCTTCTTCAAATGTAAAATATAATGCTTAATATGTTCCTCAAGCCAAGTACCATGTTTCCCTGAAAATAAGACAGGGTCTTGTATTTATTTTTCCTCAAGAAGACACCCTAGAGCTTATTTTCAGGGGAAGTGTTATTTTTTTTAAGTACGGTACAATAATACACATTTATTCAAATATAGTTAAGTCATCTTCTTCTGGAACATCATCATAACTCTCCAGACCCCAAATTCCATCCTGAATTTCTTGCGACTCTATTTCCTTTAGAGCAATTGGCCCCAATCTCTCATGTTGAGCAATAGAGCTCTCATGGGGCAGATGAGAAGGGCTGCTCATCTTCTTTACCACTCTGCAATGAAATGCATGGGTTGTGCAGATACACTGTGTAGCCTTGCCCATCACTAGGTCTTATTTTCAGGGTAGGGCTTATATTGCACAAATGCTTACAAATCCTGCTAGGGCTTATTTTATGGGTAGGTCTTATTTTGGGGGAAACGCGGTAAGAGCCTGCATATCAGTGAGGTGAAAAAGGCAGAACTGGAGGAGAAGGGCCTTCCTACAACCGGACAAAATGGGGCAGGTAATGAACAAGCTGAGATACACTCTAGAAATAAAACACAGATTTTGAAGGTGGTGGGTGAAGGACAGTCTGATCAACTTCCCGTTTAGTCAGAAAGACTAATGGGAAACTTCTGTTCTAAGCCCCTATGTACTCAGGAAAGAGGATGGAAGGTTTGAATTTGGAAGAGCACCTGGATGAATGTGAGGAAAGGGCAGCTTTTGCAGAATTACAGAGGTAGACAAGACAGAGGCTGGGCTAAAAAATGACAAAGAGGTCAGAGTGTGATGTTCATACAGTAGGGAACGGAGAGCTTCACCAGCAAGGGAGGGCAAAGCTACAGTGTGTTGAGGTATGCAGGAGCAGACCGCCAGAGAGCAGTTCAGCACAGCGCTAAAACACCAGGGCAAAGATGCCTTGTCTGACTCAGTCGGGTAACAGTCACCCAACAGACTGAAATTATGGAGGGAGGAGTTAAAAAACAGAGGAAAAAACAATTCTGGTTGTAGGTTTGCCTGAAGAGAGATCATAATAATGGTAAAAAGTGAGAGAAATTATAAAATTTCCTATAGAAAGCAGACCAATAAGGATGGATTCAGAAGCTGTAAAGGGGAAAAGACAATAACATAGATGAGGAGAAGGAATCAATACGTGATTCAGGCTGAAGGTTGGTTACCCTGAAATGTCATTTGGGAGGGTTAGTATTAGGTGAATCAGATCCAGGGAAAGTTAGTTTACTTACCTGGAAAATGAGAATAATAACAGTACCCAGTTCAAAGGAATATGAGAATTAAATGTGATACTACACATAAAATACTAGACAGTGTCTGACATTTAGTAGGCAGCCAATAAATGTTCACTATTATCACTCGTCAATAAAACAGTATTTGTTAAATGAATAGGTAATCTATCCTGAATTATAAAAAGGTTATTGTCTTGGGAAGGAGAAAGATCTTGATTCCACTTCAGCTCTGTTATTTTTTTCCAACTTTGTAGTTTTAAGTCTATTTCTTTATCTACTGATGGTTAAATAATACCTAACTTACAGAGATGCTATGAAGATTAAATGTAAGGTATATAAACTGCATTGCTACAGCATCTTCAGTCTATAATAGTCTATACTAGAAGCTCACTAAATGGTAGTGAGTTTCATCATGTGAAGATGGTATTGAATTCATGACTTTAAAAAATGACATATTTGCCCTTTCCGATGGTGATGGCCTTCCCACAAGAACATGCCTCTCGCAAAGGATCTCCTTCATCCCCCTCCAGAAGAGGAAAAGAGGAAACGCAAGAATTGCCTGGTGCAGAGCCCCAATTCTTACTTCATGGATGTGAAATGCCCAGGATGCTGTAACATCACCGTGGTGTTTAGCCATGCACAAACGCTAGTTTTGTGTGTTGGTTGTTCCGCTGTCCTCTGCCAGCCTACAGGAGGGAAAGCAACGCTTACAGAAGGATGGTCCTTCAGAAGGAGGCAGCACTAAACGTGCCTTGCTTGAATGAATGGGAAACCATCCCAATAAATACATTTTGGATATTTTAAAAAATGCCATATTTATAAAAGCCATTTCATAGGGGAGATAGGAACAATGCCAAGGAATAAAATATATATCAACAGAGATATCTGAAGAATAATGCCTTATATCTTGAAAGCCAAGACTGGAAAGCAGGTAAGTAGTTTCCTTCTCTCCTGTTCCCGCATTTTGCTGAACTTCTCAGAAGAAAAAAAAAAAAAAAAGTGGTCATAAAACTTCCTGCCTGCATTACTCTGGGAGTTCCAAGTCCAAATATCCACTCCGTGCTGCCAATGATATCAAAACTTGAAAACTGAAATGGTATTTCCCTTTAGCAACACAGACTGAAGATACTTTTAGACTGTTGTGCGTGTATGCTAATAGGAACTTTGGTCAAAACCTTCTCTTGGCTCTAACAGTTATATAAATTGAACATCCACTGGGTAAAATGCTATTAGTCCTGAATTTAATACTCTTTCACTAATTAACAATAGTTTCTAGTTCTTGTATTACATAATTTATCAAACACTTTCATAATTCACTTTGAATATACTTTTTTTACACTTCCTCATATTAAAAAAGTCAACTTCATCTTCTCAGCCTCTCACTTTTTATATTATATTATATATATATATTCATACATATAGTACAGGTATATAAATATATAAATGTATATAAATATTAATAAATATCACTTTCTAGTTTAATGTCATATATGAGCCTTTATTGGTACCTTTAAGCATTTCGGATGTCTTTTTTTTTTTGGAGACAGTCTCACTCTGTTGCCAGGCTAGAGTGCCATGGCATCAGCCATGTTCACAGCAACCTCAAACTCCTGGGCTCAAGCAATCCTCCTGCTTCAGCCTCCCGAGTAGCTGGGACTACAGGTATGCACCACCATGCCCGGCTAAGTTTTTCTAGGTATATTTTTAGTTATCCAGCTAATTTCTTTCTTTTTTTAGTAGAGACGGGGTCTCACTCTTGCTCAGGCTGATCTCCAACTCCTGACCTCCGGCAATCCTCCTTCCTTGGCCTCCCAGAGTGCTAGAATTATAGGTGTGAGCCACTGTGCAGGGCCCAGATGTCTTTCTTTAGACTGTCTCTGGTAATAGTATGACTTTGTTCATTTTCAGTATTGTAAATGGTGATACTTTGTAGATAAGGTAGCAGTGTAAGAAAAAATAAAAAAGAGAGATACATAGTCAAGGCCTGATTCTTTCTTTCCTGCTTGGCTAGTGTGATGGGAAGACAAGTGCACTGGGCTAGAGACAAATCAACCTCTGTACACCCATTTCTACTAAGTAATCATCTGCAAGTTATTTAACTTCTATAAATATCAGGGACTTTTAAATATATGTAAATAATGCCTTGAAGGCCTATCTCCCAGGGTTGTTATGAAGTTCTTAAAAAAAACTGTAAAGCAAAGTACATAGCCAAAGTTGTCTTCCTTGTTATTTGCTACTCTCTAACCACTTGGATGCTTTTTAAAGCCAACAGCTATATATTCTCTTTATAAAACCATTTTACTTTGCTTAAAAAAACTCCAAAGAATAAAATAATCAACTGTTTTACCTTTAAACACTGAAGATCATTTCTTCATTTTATGTGCTATTATATTAATTATATATGAAATTCTTTAATTTGGTAAAAACCACAAAATTTATAATCCTAATCATTTTAAGTATATAGTCCAGTAGTAGTAAGTATATTCACATCGTTGTACAACCAATCTCCAAAACTTTTTTGTCTTGCAATACTGATATTCTATACTCATTAAACAAACCCTTGACAACCACTATTCTACCTGTGTCTCTATGAATTTGGCTACTTTAGAGAGTCCATATAAATGGAATCATAATTCCACATATATAATTATCTTTTTTTGACTGGATTATTTCATTTACTATAATGTCCTCAAAGTTCATCTTTGTTGTGGTATATGTCAAAATTCCTTCCTTTTTAAGGCTGAATAGTATTCCATTTTGTGTATATACCACATTTTGTTTATCCATTTATCTATCAATGGGCATTTGGGTTATTTCCACCTTGTGGCTATTGTGAATAATGCTGCCATGAACATAAGTATGCAAAAATATATGAAATTCTTAATAACACACATCTGTGCCAAGGTTTTATTTTTTTATTTTTATTTTTTTGAAACAGAGTCTCACTCTGTTGCCCAGGCTAGAGTGCCATGACGTCAGCCTAGCTCACAGCAACCTCAAACTCCTGGGCTCAAGCAATCCTTCTGCCTCAGCCTCCTGAGTACCATGCCCAGCTAATTGTTTCTATATATTCTTAATTGGCCAATTAATTTCTTTCTATTTTTTAGTAGAGGTGGGGTCTTGCTCTGGCTCAGGCTGGATTCAAACTCCTGACTTTGAGCGATCCGCCTGCTTTGGACTCCCAGAGTGGTAGGATTACAAGCGTGAGCCACCGTGCTCAGCCTGTGCCAAGGTTTTAATTTGATAAACAAATAAAAATGAAAAGAGAAAAGTTTATTGATTTGAATGCTGCAGTTCAAAATCACAAATGCTTTTATGTGATTACTCCTGACAGTGAGCAACTGATTCCTTCAGTGGATTAATGCATTTGTCTTTCAAATCCCAAGGCTTATATTCTAATTAAAATATAATCATAAATAGAACACCTATACCAACCTATTTGTTTACAAATGACAATATTCCATTAAGAAAACTATATGACAAAAGACTTTAAAACTTAATATTTTGATTATTTAAGAAATATCCTTATACCAAAACCATTTATTTTCTTTTATTTTCTCGTTTCTTCTATGAGACTTTATATACTTTTAGTAATTTTATGAAAATTTTAAGCCATATTTCCAAACTTAAGTCAAAAATGCACATATATAAAGTGCCTACAACAGAAAACCTTTTGGAATGATGTACAACATTTTACATTTTCTGTAGAAAAAATATAAACTAAATAAGATTGAGTTTAAATTTATATCTAAGCCATTATTTTAGGAGATACTTTGAGGATTCAATAAAGTAGTCTTAAGATTATATAGTTCAACCCCTCTCATGGTACAGGTAGAAATAAGAGACCCAAAAAACACATAATAAGCCATCCTCAGAAGCTGCATATCACATAATAAATGTAATATATAATTGATATAACTTTATTCTTTAATATTATTGCCACTGTTTCTGACAAAATAGTTAATTCTTGATTATTTGAGAAATATTGGGATAATTAAATAGGTATAGTGCTATAGCAACAAACAGTGCTATTTCGAAGGAGATGCTTAAATATCTATATCCGTTGTTTCTCTATTCCTTTACCTATTTCTTACGGAGCAGATAAGAAAAAGAAAAAAGGACCAAATATATATCTGTAATTTTTACTATTTGTGCAATACTGATAACAATTTTGTTGGTAAATATCTGAATTATTGTATAGAATGAGGTTTTTGAATTCCTGATTCATGTACATTTATTTGAGTCTGCTTTACTTATTCCAAAAATAAAGTAAGTGGTGTCTATATCTAGAATTATAGAACCAGGCAGGACCTTAGAGAGTACCTAATTCAACTCTCTTAATTTACAGATGAAAAAAAATTATAAATTGGAAAAGCAACTTAACTTGTCCAAACTCTCACACTAATTAGCAAGTGATTCAGGACTAAAGCCTAGGTCATGTAAATCCCAGTCCAGAATTCTTTTTTTTATTATTTTTTTTAAAAATTTTTAAATTTTGTTAACATTTTGTTTTTACTTTTTCTTCCTTCTTTTTTCTTTTTCTAACAAAATTAAGTGAGTCTGTGGAACAGTCCAGAATTCCTTACATTCATGATACCATACCGTCCTCCTCACATTCACATACACGGCAATACTTCTACATAGACACAGAAGAAAAAAGAACAATTATGCCTGATTTTATATCTCTAGAAATCTTCACTTTATATCTCTGTTTTGTGCTACTAAATGATTTAACGGTTTGATTCACTTATTAAATTTCAACATTAACTGTATTTATGACCAACTGATAATAAAGATCATTTTTAAAAAGCTTTCTGTAATTTAGCGTGGTCTAAAACTTTATTAGTGTTTAGTAACCAGAATATATCATGATTCAAAATTATGTCAGATTAAGGGGGTCATCTCTTCATACATATCAAATCAACAAATACATGTGATATTCCCTGTGCTGGGGAGAAAAATGCAGAGAAGTGAAAAGGTAAAAAATAATGAAGGTTTAAAGAGTTTAAGACTAAAGTCACAGAAAGAATGGCACAAGGAAACATGTGAGTAACTACTAAAGACAATGGATTTATGTGAGAGAACAGACCATTCTAGGGTACCATGGACAAGAAAGGTTTTATAAGGAGGACTGCTGTGCCGAGTTCTGGTGAAAGAAAGGTGTCTGAAGAGGTAAACAGGGGAAAGGTCAGTTAAGGCAAGGGGAATGGTGTGATGAGAAACATAAATGTGGACATGCACACATTTTACTTAACTGTCCAAGCTGGCTAGAGAGCTACAAGTCTATAGACAGGGGAATACTGATGGACCAAGTTAAAAAGTTAATTTGGACACTGGTTTTTGAAAGGCCATGTATTTCTTCTCCTCTCTTTTTTAAAAGTCCAAAGCTGTATGATTTAAAAACATAAGTATTCTAATACATTCTCATTCTAAGGGAAAATAAAACAACAGCACCTTGATTTGTTACCAGGCAAAATGTCCTAATAATGAGGAGGGGAAAAAAGCCATCTGAAGTGAGAAAAGACAGACTCTTTGCACAGCTCATTTCTGTGTGCTGATACATGCCTAATTCAAAATAAGTGGCTCAATAAATGAAAAATAATACTTATGTTAATAATGTTAAATCACTCACAGATGACATTATCATAAGACTTGAGAAAAAGTAAGAAAACAAATTGAATTTTAAAAGGATGACCAAATGCTCTGTGGCTCTTAAGATCACAAAAGCACTGTGTGATATATAATTATTGGTACAATTCTTAAATCTTTGCCTAAGCCAAAGAATCTAACTGTATAAAACTGTGTCCTGACACCAATCTTAGAATCTACATTGTTTACCCTCCTAGAAAACTAACATAAACATACTGCACAGCATTTAAAACTCAGCTCCTCTGGGGCCTGGCAATCCCTAAGACAAACCCATGTTCCTTCCAGCTTATTCCAGCTGAGTTAAATGTCCCCTCCCACCAGCCCCAGTTTCATCAAATCTGGATGACTCACTGGCCCTTGAGCACATTCCCTGTTTCAGTGGTTTTTCTGTCAAGCTGTTCTCCTTGACGTTGACACTCTTTGCCCTAAGTCTCCCTCTCCAAATACTCACAGTACCCACATCAACTCCTCATTCAAGGGCAGGGGTGAATTACTTGCGGTGAAATAGCTAAAATATTCTAAACATGAAGCTTGTATATTCCTTTCACAACTCAAAAGTGAGGTACAGGTGGGAGAAGTATATTTGAGAAGAGCAGAGAAGGACTTTTCTGACCTTCCTTACGCCCTAGCTTAGGCCTGAATCTGAAAGATCACACTGCCTTCAGACCATGATACCGAGAAAAGGGGATTGACAGTGATCCCCCTAAACTTTGTAAGCTGTGTGAGGGCAGTGACCACGTATCTTCCTTCGTTCCCCAGAGCCCAGAACTGTGCCTGCACATGCCAAGTGAATATGGAAAGAATGAATGAGAATATTAAGCCTGGCACCCAAATTTTGTCATCATCCTGCAAGAGTCCTCCCTCTTCCTGTGCCACTCATCCCTTCTTCTTCCTGCCCCTAAGTGAATTCAAGGACTCAACTAGGCTGGCATTCTATATTCTAACTTCAACTACCAAGTAGACATGATTTTTTTCACCCAAATTTTGGGTACTGTACCTGTGAACAGAAAGAGGGGCAATGCCAACCCCTCCCTGATCCAACAGACATGTGTACTCATACCCTATGAACAACAGCTATTTTTAAAAATGTGGTCAAAAAGAAATGTAGCAGCTCAGGAGACACCTGGCTTTATTGCAGGCTTTATTGCATTCTTACTAACTTTCCAGGATGTTTCTATGCTAAAGGTCAGGTACATAAAAAGATATAACATACACTTATTAAAAGAATAATAAATTAATGCAGTGGAAAATGTAGATAATTTGGGTATTTATAGACTGGAGAATATTTAGATTCATCTGTTTAAAAAAATGTATATACAACTTTTCTTAATTAGACATACAGTTTGAGTCTAGAATACTAGTCCTAATAATTTTAATGCACCCATGAAGTGAAAGAAGAGAAGGAAAAAAACAATCAGAGTACCTATTCAATACCCTCAACTGGTTTAAAGTCCCACATCAGTCTACACTTTCCTCTAACATAAACCACTATTAACTTCCTTGTTAAAATATATCAAACTATAATATAGAAAAGTTAAAAATTGTTTTTGCTGTTTTCTAAAAGTACAGCTTTTTCAAACTTTCAATTCCAATGTCCAAAGTGTTAAAGATATAGTAAAAATAACATTTTCCATGTTAATGCATTATGCATCATATTCTGTATTTGCTAGATACGTGCCTTTGAGAAACCCAGTTTTAACACATTGCTTTGGATATGCTGTATCCAAAGCACAAAATAACATTTTTCCAGAAACTGCTTGCCTAGGGCAAAAATCTCTTGGACCATCAAATATACTTTACAAATTTATAACTATTCCTTTATGAGAGTGCAAAGCAGATATAGTTTACTTGCACTCAAGTGGAAACCTCAATGGAGAAAAACATTTAATGAACTAATAGAAGAGAAAAAAAGAACTTACAGCCCTAGGAATGAAAACACTCAAGGGCACGGAGCCTAGCTTACTTCTCGCTCTCCCCCAATAATTTGCACCCTTTCACCACACTCACCACTATTTTCGCAAGACCATCTTTCTCTCCTGCCCATTTCTGTTTCCCCCCTGATTCACCAACCTTTCTTCAACCTCATCTAATAAGCTACTTTTCTACTTTGGCTCCCCCAACCCAGATTTTCATGAAATGATGCCGAGAGGATGTCCCCTTGGAATCCAAGCAGAGTGATGAGTCAAAGAAAAGGGACATGGAGAGCACACAAAGGGGTGGAGTAAAAGGAAATGGGACACCACAGACTTCAAGTATGAGCCTAAAAAATACTCCTCCTTACACAGCAGTAAAGCAGAACAGACTATATCCACTAAGCCTCTCTGCTGGTTAAGAAATACCATCTGCCTACATAAGGTAGCTTGTTCCAGAAAGCAAGGAAGCAGTGTCAGGTTTCGTAAGTGGATAGTCAGAGCATGGGCAAATACCTTCCCTCAGACCTGCTCCTGAGAGGTCACTTGTGTTCCAGTGGCTACTCTCACTTCTCAGGGTTGGCCCACAATATTATATTATTTTATATGCCCTTCACCAGTAGCAAGCTTTCACATGAGGCAACGGCACAAAATTTCCTATTTCATCTGTGGTATTTTTTACACAAACATCATTAGGAAAGAATTAACCATCACAGAAAAGTATATTCTACTTTTGCTCTCAATTTTTCTTTCTGAGACTCTAGAGATGGGAAAGCTCCCAGATAGAATGGGAGTGACAGACAGGACTGAGAACTACTGGGTGTGGCTCTGGCTATATGGAGATTGAAGAACCTCAAAAACTCCTAAGTATGCAAAGTGCAATTACCTGCAAAGAGCTTGCCTGATATTCAGCTTGGCACCATTGTGTAATGAGAAGCCCTGATGCAATGTTTAAAGAACTCAAATCACACAGATGAAGAGAAGGGCACATCTTTCCCAGTTTTTGCAGGTACAGAGGATAAAAACTTGAAGAAAAACTCCATAAAAAACTGTTGTAATGACTTATTAAATGGCTTATTTCCCAGTGACAAATTTGAGATCTTAAGAAAAACAATATACCTTTCTAAAGAAGTGAGAACATAGCATCAATGTCAAAGAATAATTTTGTCTCACACAAAAGAATTCCAGTAAACGTACGCATATCCCATGTATCCGATTATATTCACACTGTAGCCACTGTTCATTTACTCTAACAACGACAAACACAAAAACTACAGGAAAACATTTTCATTTCTAAGGAGGGAAGACAGAGTCACAACGTGGAATGTTAATTTCCTCCACTGATGGGACGCAGTGTCAAACTGCAAAAGGACTAGAAAAATGTACCTCTTAAGAGCACCTCTAAAATTCTTTAAACCTAATTTTCGATTTAAAAAACTTGTAGATGCTTTAAAAGCAACAAAGCAAATGAAGAAATAAGTGGCAAAATGCAAAGATATCATAATATCACAACCGGGCGCCAGGAAAGCTGCATAACTCAACCAATTGACAGCCCAGCCAAAGGAACTCCCAACAGTTAAAGGAAAAGTTTGTCGCTTTAAGAAAACCGTGCATATGTACACTTCTGGGACAACCTCTAGGTGCTGCTGTAGAGACCCCCTTCGGAAAGACTAATTTCTTCCCCGGTGTTTCAGCCTCCCCCTCCCCCTGACCGCACTGCAGTGCGCCAAGCCACTACAGACAATCACTTCAAACGCATCTGCTGCTGAAACTCGCCTCAGAAACTAACAGTCTTCAACGTTCAAGGAGCCAAACAATGTTTATTCAGCCCAAATGACATGACAGATGGGTGAGCTAGGCAGTAGAAAACATCAGCAGGATTGGGGCAAAGCAACCAGGGGGCTAAAGCAGCAAAAACACAGCGACCACTGGAGCCCCCATGACTCTCCCCGGCCCTGTCTTCCTACAGAATACTGCTCAATGTTAAAGCTAATCCTGTGCACAAGGCGGAACTGTGGGACGAGCTGGGGAGAGGCAGGAGGACAGGGTGGGGCGGCTCCTGCGACGAGCTCTGGGCTGAACAGGCTCCATCTGATATGTCAGCTCCCGCATCCGAGCCGCCGACGGGAGATGGTGGAAGCTCAGAGGAAAACCCTGCGAGTGTCGCGGGTGGGGCGGCGGGGGAGGCCTCCGCGTTGGGACCCGATGAACCAGTGCGCGCCCGGGCCGCCCGCGCCGCACCCCCGCCGACCCGCAGCATCCCAACACCGGAGCGCGCCGGGGCCCGGGCGCCCGGACACCTCGGGCGGCCGGCGCCCCCCGCGAGGCCGCGGCCCGCGGGGCCAGGCGAGGATGCGGACGCCAGCGCCTTTACCTGCGATGGACCAGGTCCAGCGGTAGAACTCCACGGTGTCGTTGAGCGCCGTGGACACCACGTTCAGGACGCTGCCCGGCTCCGAGTCCAGGAGCCCCATCGCGGCGACAGGCAGGCGCGGGCGGCGGCGGCGGCGGGAGAAAGCGGGGACCCCGCCAGAGGGTCGACCTCGGGGGCGACGGGCGGCAGCCGGGGACCCCTGTAACGGCGGCGGCCCAGCTCCGTCTTCCCTCCTCCTCCGAGCGCCGCGTCGGCGGGGATGCGGTGGCGGCGACGAGCGGGACCGAGAGGTGTCGTCAAGGCACCCAGGAGGAGGAGGAGGAGGAGGAGGGCGACGACGAGAGGAGGAGGTCTCGCCGCGAGCGCGAGGCGCTGCACCAGTCTGCCGCCGCACGCCGCCGCCGCTCCAATCCCCTCCGCCGGCGTCACGTGGGCCCGCGGGGGCGGAGGGGCCGGCGCAGCCCTGCTCCCTCCCGCGCCGGTGCTCCCTGCGCACGGGTGCTGCGGTCTCGGGGGGCGGGGGACGCGAGCCCGGCCTGCGCAGGCGCGCGCCGCCCCCAGCCCCAGCCCTCACCCCTGCTCCCGCGGTGCGGGACCCGGACACCTGGCCCCTCCTCGCGACCTCTCCCCGCGAGTCTCCCCATCCTCCCCGCGCCGCCCTCCCCGGCGTCAGGCCCCTGCGGAGAAGTAGCTGCCTTCCCACGGGTGACCTCGCATCCGCCCCGATAAGTCCTGGGAAACAAGGCAGGGAAGAATAGGTATTTTGTGGGCAGAGATGAGGTAGGCGAGGTGCTTTGGTCTTTACCTGTCACTCACCTTGATTGCACGTGTGTTCTGTTTCTTTCACCAGCACATACTTCTCACCGTGAGAAGGGATATGAGCGAGTTGTCCCTATAAAAAAAAATGAAAGGATATTTGTCTTGCCTGCTACAGAGATGGAAAATAAGCTTTGAGGTCTACTCATTAACAAATTAACGTGTAATTGAACGAATGCATGTGTTCTGTAGAATCTTACTATGCATGGAAAGATCAAAAAGCTAAAAACGATGCTAAATTAGGCCATTAGTAATTTAGAGAAAAAGGGAGAAGAGAGAGGGGTCTTCCAGGTAGAGAAGTCTGCCTGGATCTGCACGGGTTGAGGTGAATCTAAAAGGATAATCGTTCAGGAGACAAAGGGCAATATAGTCCAGAGAGGAGAACAAAGCAATTTCTTTATTTAAAAAAAAATTGTTTAGATAAGAAGAAGGTGGGATGTAGTAGGAGAGCCTACCTTGAAAAGGAGCAAAAATACACGACATAAATTCATAATTTGATAGTTTCTTTGACAGTATCTTTGAGAATGGTCCAATAACCTTTTCACCTATTATTTAAATCTGTCACATATTTCTTTCCTAATCTTTTCTCCACTTGTTGATTTAGGATGCTACATTTTAAAGGCCGCTGAGTCAAGTGTGAAATTGCCTCTGCCCTTTGGCTCTGTTGTGGATACTACCTTTTATCATATTTATTTGATTTATTTTCCAATTGACCCAGTTATATATCCTTTATCTATATTTTATATTGGAATCATCCTAGAGGATAAGAATTATTTTTGGTTGCTTGATGAGGATCTGACCCAGTGCTAAAAATAGTAACTAATAAATATTTATGCTGCCAAAATTATCACATACTTCTTTCAGAGCATAATAAGGATTATTGTAATCGGCAGAAGCTTGAGGGAAAGAAGAAGGTAATTAAAACGAACTGATTTGTTGTATAACTTAAGCAACCACAAGCTTTAAATGCTGTATTCTTGAAATTAACCAAATAAAATGTAATTTATTAATTTGTCAAATGTATTTGCCAAACTAAAGTTTCCTGTATTGAAATAATAATTTCTCAAATCTCACCCTGAAGTTATGTGTATTAGTGTATCAGACAGATTCTAGTAGCTATATAAAAAGTATCCAGTCAAGTCTTTCCATTTGGGGTGTGGATAATGATCAACTCATTTACCTTGATGACCTAGCGAAGTTCAAATTAGTTTGAACTTCACCTAAACAATTGATTACTACTTCTATATTGTGGCATTCTGGATGTTCTCTAGGGAAAGCAAACTCCCACCCTTATTCCATTCACAAATGCAAAACCTCAGCATCTTTACTAATTTAGTACAATGTGAACTTGTTAAAATAGTTTCCGATGTCTTCCCAGCCTCTCCTTTACAGGGGTGGCCAACTTAAGTCCCTATTCACTAGGGGGCGCCAATCACATATAAGAAAATTGCGACAAATGATGATAACTAAGTAATGCGGTGACACCTGTATCACCTTGTCTATACTCCACCTGGAAGAGTAGAATGTTTATTTACATTTATGAGCTGTCCATTATACACCAAGAACCAGAGCCGTAAAACTTACGAACTCTGGAGCCCTGTCACCTGGCCTGAACACTACAGTCCAATACTCGATTCTCGAGCGGTTTATAAATACGAGTGGCTACTCAGAACCAAAGCGTGCTTAGTCTAGTTGTCCAAAGGAAAGGAGACCTGCATGTCCACCTACCTAGAATGACAGCCGTCTAAGATTTTGGTGGCATCATAACAGAAGAAAAGCAAATACAAACATTCATAGTATCTGCAAAATTTTGAGGCCAGAGAGTTCTTTGGTGTGGATTGAGTATAAATAGGATACTCACAGTTATCTACAAAACTAAAAGAGAGGACATTATTATAATAAAAAATTATATTTTAGTAAAATAGAAAAATATGTTTAAATGTCTTACAGCCCATACAGAGTTAACAACATAAATCAAGCTATCTATTTTTTTCCTAGTGTTTCCACCTTTCCATGTTGGCAATATTGTCAGCAACTTGTGCTTTCAAAGAAGAGTGAAACCGGGAGCCTGTTGAGTCAGGAGTAAAATCTGATTAAAGAAGAGCTTGTAGAAAGACTTTAAATCTGCTAGCAGTAAATTTTGCTAAGTGGATACTACTTACAGAAAATGGAGAAAATTTTTGATAATACTTATTGCTATTAAGCGCAGTCTTTTTAAAATTCTACTTATCACGCCTCCCCTACTTTATAAAGATAAAAAAATATGTAGTATCCATAATACAGGTGCTTGATCATTTGGAAGTATAATTTTTGCCATAAGACATCTTTCATTCTAAATTTAAGACATTTACTTTTTTGTTACCTTGTATGCAATTATTATTTATTTTATTAAACGGATATAGATTCTCCTAGTAATACATAAGCATTGATAAAATAACAATAAAACAAAATGAAATCCCCCCGTAATTTCATCTCCCATTCTTAACAATTTTACATGCTTATGTATGCCTTTTTTTCTTTACACAAATGGTTATTTTTTATAATAACCATTATAAACCATATAATTTTTTTTAACTTTTTTTTTGAGACAGAGTCTCACTTTGTTGCCCAGGCTAGAGTGAGTGCCATGAAGTCAGCCTAGCTCACAGCAACCTCAAACTCCTGGGCTCAAGCAATCCTCCTGCCTCAGCCTCCCGAGTAGCTGGGACTACAGGCATGCGCCACCATGCCCGGCTAATTTTTTCTATATATATTAGTTGGCCAATTAATTTCTTTCTATTTATAGTAGAGATGGGGTCTCACTCTTGTTCAGGCTGGTTTCGAACTCCTGACTTTGAGCAATCCGCCCGCCTCAGCCTCCCAGAGTGCTAGGATTACAGGCCTGAGCCACCGTGCCCAGCCCATATAATTTTTTATAATCTGCTTTTTAAAAGCTTAATATATCAGGCACACTTTTCAAGGTAATATCAACTATTTAATATTCTATTATATGGATATACAATAATTATTTAATCACTACTATGTAGATGAGCATTTAGATTGTTTCAATTTAAATTTGAACTATTATATCAATTTGGCTGTTAGTATCCCTGTATACACAATTTTGTGAACTTGTCTAATCATTCTTAGCATACATTTCTACAAGGGAAATTTTGGGGTCAAAGGATTTTACATTTAAAGATTTTGATACATGATGCTCATTTACCCTCCAGAAATGTACAAATTCACAATTCCATCAAAATTTATGAAAGTGCTTGTTTCCCCACATTTCATTCTCATTAATGAATTTAATTGTTCTTTTTAATAGTAATCATTACCAATCTAATATAGGTAAATACTGATATTTCATGGTTGCTTAACAGTTTATCACTTTTATTGGAATTTATCTTTAAGAATTGCCTACTTGCATTCCTTGCACATTTTCCAGTAGTTGTGTCTATTTTTCTTATTTATATGTGACCTTTATGTAATAAAGTTATTGACAGTTTATCTGCTGTATATGTTGCAAATATATTTTCCCAGTTTATTGTATTTTACTAGATTTATTATGTAATAATAATTTTCAACTAGGCATATTGGAAGCTGGAAAAAATTTAGACTCACTCACCACCATCTCTACCAGAATTATGTATCAGAATGGCCTTTCAAACTTTGAACTCCCATACAACTTCTGGCAGTTCTGATGTGCACTTCTAAAGTACACATGCTACTCCTTTCCTAAGAATCACAACTACACATTATTTGCATTGGATATTCATTATTTTCACATCACCCAATATGTACACTCCGTCTATATCCTTTCTTTTATAGGTCAAAGCCATTGGCCCAATCTTTCTTCACATAGCTATATTTCAAGGCCATAAACCACAATTCTAGTCATGCATGCAAGCACATGGTGGTAAGAGTGCCAAACCATGGTGCCTTTGCCAGTTCTTCCTGGCTTTATTATACCAAGAAAAGTTCTGTCACTCTTAAGTGAATAGTGTCTGGGTTGCCATTGCCTTCACTTGCTACATCCTAGTATGTCTCCATCTTCACCAGTGATGTAAGCCTTACTGAAAAATCTGATAATAAATTGAAAGTGTTAAGGGGAATACCTCTTCACCATGTTCTTATCTTCCCATTTCTGAAGAGCAATTTGCTTTCATCGTAGGAGAAGAGGAGATTGTGTGCAGTACAGCTGAGGGAAGTAGAAGGAATGAAGATATATTTTGCATGTAGAATTGATAAGAGTTGATCATGGATTGGACATGAGTTGTAAGGGAGAGTGAAATGTCATTGATGACTTTTGGCATGGGCAGAAATAGAGAAATATGAAAGAAGAAGAACAGATTGTGGTGGGGGGAGGACAGGTTTTAACACGCCGATATTCAAGATGTCTGAATTACATTAAAGAGTATCACAAACTATGGGATATATGAGCTTGAAGAGGATCTAGCCTGGAGATAAACACTTTGCAGTTATAAACATAGATGGCGACCAATGCCATGAGAGTGCATGAAATAATTTAGGTGGAAGGATATGTAAGGAAAAAATCATACTATAAAACAGCCACAAAGAACTCTAACATTCACAGGTCAGAAAGAAGAGGAGAAGTTGGCAAACAGGG